CAGCACGGAAGAACTCCAGGCGCTTGGACCCAGACCAAGTATTTCCTCAAGTCTTGTTCGACATGAACATAAAAGGAGCGAGCCAGATTCCCAACGCCTTCAGAGGGCTGAAAAATCCCTGCTGCAGAGCCCCAGTTCCTCCTTGCCCATGCACAGGGCCTGGCTTGCCCCAGAGCCACACTGTCCTTCCCTGTGCCAGCACTTGCCCTCCATGTCAGGTCAAGCTCCATATCCAGGCTAGATGTGGCCAAGCTCCACCTGCATCCCACTGCCATCCTTGGTCAGACACAGCTACCCCCTCCAGTGCCCACTTCTCCTGCCCAGCACAGGAAGGTGCCTTGGAAGGCAGGTGGTGCTGACCAGCTCCTGGCCATGCTGCTGCAAGCCCCGGCTTGCTGCCCTGGAGGGCTGGGGGAGGTGCGGGGCAGCTGCACGGGCTTGGAGGCAGGAGCTGGGAGAGGTTTTCACACGGCTGCCCGGGAAGGGGAGAGCTCAGCAGGCTGCGTCACCCAGCCCCACCCAGCCCAGCCAGCACCTCCTGCTCCCTGTCCCCCTCCGTGCCCGCACGCCAGGAAATCCCTTCTGCAGGTGCCAACTTAGCCGGGAGCCACGGCAGTGCCAGCCCTCTGGCTTCCCCCACGGCCCTGCTAACCAGGGCTTCCTTCCTACCCTCTCCACCCAGCCAGAACCTTTGTTCCCTGTGTCTCCATCACTGCACCCAGCCAGATGCCCACCAGACACCACCATCCAGGGCCTAGGCACCCTGGGCAGAGTCTCACCCAGCATGGAGGGGAATCAAGTGCCTGCACAAGGGCCCAGGCAGCATCCCCCAGTGCCTTCCCACCTGCGGCACTGAGGGTCTCTCTTACCCAGCTGGCAGATACTGTGATATGCCACACAGCCCACAGCTCCCCACACATGAGCCCTTACCCTGACTGCACTGCAAGCAGCTCAGGACCACAGCCTTTTAGATGTCAGGACCCCAGCAGAGCCCCATGCCGTGACAGGTGGCATCTCTGTTGTGTGATCACCAAGATGAAGCAGCCTTGCAGCTCACTCAGTAGCGCCACAGTGATGGACGCAGCCGAGAGCCAAAGCATGTGCCAGTGATGCTTCCCCTCATGCTCCTCGGCTCCAAAGAGCAGGACCATGCTGCAGCCCCTAATGCCAGGCAGGACACCTCCTTTCAGCCCACTCCGGCAGCCCCAGGCCAGGCAGGACAGCCTGCCCTGCTGGAAGCACCCTTGCTCGAGGGAAACCGTGGCCAAGGACAGCAGGGCAGGAGTTCTAGGGCTGCAGATGCCTCCAGGGTGCAGAGAGCACCTCTTCCCATCAAACAGGACTCACTGCCCCATTATGCAGCTCAGCCTTGTCAAAGAGCCCCCCCAGAGCTGCCTACATCCCCTGGGAATGTCCTCACTGCTCCTGCCTGCCCTGCCCAGGATGGCAGGATGTCCAAGCCCTGAGGGCAGCACTGGCCTGTGTGCACAGCAGGGCCGTGGCTTCATGAGGCCCCTGCCCTGGGAGGTTCCTCCATCCGACCAGACCCTTTGTTAGGCGCTGGCTCACAGCCAAGAGAAACATTTTTTAGAGAATCAACTTGCTGAAGCCGTCTCTCCATACCCAGCAGAGATATGCAGGCTCCAGGACAGTGGTACTGGCAATTCGAACTTTACACAGTGCTCTTGGGATCTGTAGTCCGTGCTGGGGTGCTGCAGAGACCTGCACCCCTTTGAGACAGGCACATGGTGCCGGGGTCAGGCCCCACACAGCACCAGGAGCAAAGCTGTCCTTCGAGAAGCAGTCTGTGTGCCAGCCATCCCAGCGTCAGCAGCACAGGCAATGCAGTCACATTCCAAGGCTTATAAGGCAATTGCGTGGCCAAAGCTGTGGCCAGCACTCACCCAGGGGACTGGGCTGCCCAGGGACGTGCACAGACCCAAGGGCCAGCCTATCACATGGGGAGCAGCTTGCCCCAGGCACCTCAGCCACAAGCAGCCGGCAGCACAACGGCTCTTGCTCATGCTGGAGAAACGGGCTGGTTTTGTAGAGGGAACCACATCCCAGGGCAGGGAGCAGCACAGGCTTCCTCCCCTCCCTGTTCATCCCAGAGCCAGCTTAGGTACTGTGCTGGGAGCCGTGCAGTAGGAGGGAGGGAGGGAGGAAGGGCACAAGCTGTGTCCCAGGATGCTGAGCCCAGTGTTGTGGTGCAGACCGGGAAGCCAGCCTTGCGGCTTGGAGAACATGAGAGGGGCTCCCCTCCCCCTGCAGTGGGTACAATCCGGAAGGGGCCTCCCCTGCCCCCCGCCCCCCAGCAGCCAGAATGACTCTGCAGAGACTCTAAAGCATTTCTCATCTGAGGTTCTCTGCCCGGAACACCCCCCTGCCAGACCACAGCTGATAAGGTTCCAAGGAGGCTACACAGAGCCAGGCAGGGCAGGATGCAGTGCTCCCAGGGCCTTGGGTCATCCACATCCCCCATACAGCTCTGCCTCAGCCACCTGGATGCAGCCATCATGGCTCCCACCCACAGAGGCAGGGGAAAGATGGGTGTCACAGGTCTTGGCTTCTCTTACCCTGGAGATGGAGAGTGGCATGCTGAAATCCTTCCCTCCCTGCAGCCTGAAGCCCCAGGGCGCTGGCCCGTTCAGCATCACCTTGTAGGACTCCATATCACCCATCTCTGCAAGTGAAGAAGGTGTGATCCTGGCATTAGGGTTCATGGGAACAACGGGAAAGCAGACAAGGAGGAGGACCAGCTTCCAGCAGGAAGAGACAGGTCACATTTTTAGCAGTAACTCCACCCTGACCATCCTACACTGCGGTTAGAGACGCACCCCAAATCTATCAGCATCTCCTCCAGCAGCATCGGAGCCAAGGGGCCCAAGCTAACATTGACTAGCACCAGAGCGACAGGCACAGCCACACTAACACCC